TCTCCTTATATCCCCTCATGTATACTGCTTATTGCTTCGCCGGTTTGTAAATAACACAAAGATTAAATAACCCTGTGAGATTTGTTTTACTCGTTATGGAAACACTACATTACAAGGACATTCACAATGATTTACATTCCAGTGCTTTTCAGATTATTGTCCTAGCACTGTCACTCGAGATTTGTGCGGCACGTTGAATTAGTCATTTGTTTGTTTTTGCGGGAATGTGTCATTCAAGAACACTGGGTCCGATCTTGTTCTCAGTGACGTCAGAGATTTGTAACAAATAACTTCCTGTATTGAGAATATTGGAAGAGATTTACCGTGCCACTTCCAGCTGTTCTGTCTTTCTGCCTGTTAACGTTACAGTTTTCTACCTCTGACTGTGGGGCTGAATCCTTTTGTTTCTGATACTTTAAAGGGAAAAAAGGAAAATTATTTCCACAATCAATCAAAAGAGAAAATTGCATCCTGTTCTCCTTCTGAAATGAGAGGGAATTAAGCATGTGCCTAAAGCAGATCATGAGATCAAGTGCACTTCTGAATAGGGATTTCCTGACATAATTTAAAAAAAGGCATATTTATCCATCTGTTGACAGATCATCTCCTACTGTGTGAACAGTCACTGGAGGGGAGATTTCCTGAGGAAATCTATGGGACTAAAGGTAGTAAAAAATTAATTTTAAAACACATTTACAACAATAATTCATTTTTGTTTTGTTTAATATTTTATAGACGTTTTCATTGTTAATCAAATATTTTTGAAACAAAATGATTGAAAAAAGAAAATAATTCTTATTCTTCTTTTAGCAAGAGGGGGTCAATACAATGTTTTGATTTGATTAGAATTCCTATTTTGAATCAATTTGAAATATATATTCTCGTTTAGCATCATTTCATTGAAAAATTAGAAACATTCCAATAATAGGAAAATTCATTTTTAATGTTTTTTCTAAAAGTAATTTTCTAATGAAAAAATTATTTTGTTTAAACATTTTGTTTAAACACTGGGAGCTGCGGGCAGCCATGTAAATAAACAAACTGTCTGGCGGCCTGCCAGTGGATTACCCTGATGGGCCAAGTGTGGTCCGCAAGTTGCCCACCACTGGTCTAACCTGCTCTTAAAAATCTCCAGTGATGGAGATTCCACAACCTCCCTAAGCAATTTATTCCAGTGCTTAACCACCCTGGCAGTTAGGAAGTTTCTCCTAACATCCAACCTAAACAGCCCTTGCTGCAATTTAAGCCCATTGCTTCTTGGACAATTCTTCTCCCTCCTCCTTGTAACAGCCTTTTATGTTTTTGAAAACTGTTATCATGTCCCCTCTCAGGCTTCTTTTTCCAGACTAAACAAACCCAATTTTTACCATCTTCGTCATAGTTCATGTTTTCTAGACCTTTAATCATTTTTGTTGCTTTTCTCTGGACTTTCTCCTATTTGTCCACATCC